GCATGAGCCACCAGTGCCCAGCACAAACTTTTTTTTTCTATATGAGGTTTGAACTTAGGGCCTTATACTTTGTTAGGTGTTCCAACACTCAAACAAAACTCCAGCCTTTTTTTTTTTTGATTGTTTTTATGAAAGGGTTTTGTTTTTTTGCCTAACCTGGCCTGGATGTGATCTTAGTATATTCAGAGCTTAGCTTATCTCATTCAGAATGATGACTTCCAGTTTCATACGTTTTCTTACAAATGACATAATTTCATTCTTTATTGCTAAAGCTGTATTTTAAAGAAAAAAAACCTGACAGGTTGAGAGGAAAACAGGATAAGAAAACAAATTGGACAGAGATATCCTTAATGGGGCAAGAGAAGTACAAATGAAAACTTAGATCAGTTAGAATTAGGTCATAATAATAAAGGCCATAAAAATCCTGGTAGCTTTAATATAATAGGAATTTATTTCTCTTCTAAAACAATACAGAAAAGGCATTCTATAATGTCTTCCTGTCTTATTCCTATACCAAACTTAACATTTAACTTCTACTTTATGGTTTGTGTTTATTCCAGGATTTATAACTGCTTGCATGGCAGCTATCTAGTCTGTATTCTAACCAATAGGAAGGAGGAAAGGCTGAAAATATGAATGTCTTTTCTTGTTAGACACTTGTTAAAAGTTACACATAACATTTGACTTAAGTATTTCTTAGTACCCAATTACATGGACACTCCTAGCTGTAAGAGATACTGGGTGGCTGTGTGACCAGATGAAAATTAAAAGATTTCTATTATTAAGAAAGAAGGGACTGGGTGCCAATGGCTTATGCCTGTAATTCTAGATAAAGGTTGAGACCTGAAAATGATGGCTTGAAGCCAGCATAGGTAGGAAAAAGTCCATGAGACTCTTATCACCATTTAACTACCAAAACCCAGAAATGGAGCTGTGACTCAAGTGGTAGAGCAGCTTAAGAGACAGTGTCCAAGCTCTGAGCCCTGAACTCAGCACTTAGTATGAGCATAAAAAGAAAAAGAAAGCCAGGTATAGGTGTCTCACACCTATAATCCTAGCAACTCAGAAGGCTGAGATCTGAGCATCATAGTTTGAAGCTAGCACAGGCAGCCAAATCTAAGAGACTCTTATCTCCAATTAACCACAAAAAGCCCAAAGTTGAGCTGTGGCTCAAGTGGTAGAACATTAGCCTTCAGGATAAAAGCTCAGAGAGACAAGACCCAGGTACAGAGTTCAAGCCCCAGGACTCGAAAAAAAAAAAAGAAAGAAAGAAGAGAGAGAGAGAGAGAGGAGGGTAATCTCTATCAAAGTATCTGTTAAACATTATATCTGTTTGAGTAAAAGGAATAAAAGTTATGTTTGTATATAGAGAGAAAAATCTGAGTAGGTAATTGAGAGTTTTCAGAGCAGTTAACAAAGGACTGATAATAAAAAGTATTTGGAAACTTCAGTTTGATAGAACTCACAACTAGGAACCATTGTAGACCTTGAAGAACAGAAGGATGTTTAGCATAGTCACAAAACTTAGCTTTCTTATTACTGAAAACAGCTGTTGGTAGAAGATAATTCTTGCTGCTTGAAATGAAAATGTAGTTGAAGTGGAGCTTTGTGAGTCAGTTGTTTCAGTCCAGGCACAAGATCTCCAAAGGGTAGTCATGTTTAAAGATAGCATAACATATAGAGAGGCAATACCGGTGAGTAGATGATGTATTGGAAAAGAAAGGGAGAAATTGAAAATGAGTCCAACATTTGAGTTAGAGAAAATAACCGGCAAGTGATGGTTTCACACAGGTAAATTTCCATCAAGAAGGAATTTAAAGGCGTCTGTAAGTTATTTAGTTACGTGAAATGTAAAATTGAATGCATTGCTAGAAATCTGATTCCCAGGCTTCAGGATCTAGAGCTGAAACAGCTGCGCCTAGCTTTTCTGTGGTAAATTAGCAAGGGAAAAAAGGTGCTTTGAAGTAGGTTTTACATATCACCACTTTTTTTTTCTTTTTCTGTTTCCCCTATTCCTGGATGTTTCCCCTAAGTTTTAATTCTGGTAGATAGCTTGGGTGGTTTTCATTTGGATGATTTTGATTTTGAAGGAAGAGAGGAGCAGAAGGATAATTGCTGCTTGATGACAAGATGGAAAGCTGCAAAAAGCAGTCACAGCTCAGCATCTCTGAGCTGTGTGAGTCAGAGACAGGCTTTTCCTTGCGTTTGGTCATCTATCTGATCTTCCACAATGAGATCTTTAGTAATAAATAGTTTGTGTATTACAACTCTGTGTTAAAGAAGGAATAGTGTGGCCTCTGTTAAA